TAGAAAATAAAACAAGGGCTGGGGAGATGGCTCAGTGGAACAGGCAATTCCCTGGCAAGCACAAGGGCCTGAGTTCAATCCCTGATTCTGCCAAAAAAAAAAAAAAAGAAAACAAAACAACAAAAGCAAATGAATAGAGACTTTCAAAAGGATAAAAATTATATTTCTTCATAGTGGCATAGGCATTGAGAATGTCAATTAAAAAACCCAACCCAAACAATTTTTAATCAATTTCATTACCACTAAAAACACGTGTAAATATTGCATCAGATTGCATCGCTTATTGAAAATCATGATCCATAAATAAGAATTGAATTCAATCATGTAAGTACAAAGTGTTATTTTCATGAACAGAAACTTCACTAGAAAATTTCAAGTATATTAACATAATATGTGAAAATCATATATAAAAGTGAATACTTTCACAAAACTTTTAAAAATACAGAAAGCCATGTATATTCTACATAGACAAATCCGGGAAGCTAAAAATTTCACGTCTTAAATTTGGTTAGCATAAATCTCTACTTACTTTAGTGCATTTGGCAAATAACAGAAACCTTGGACCTGGCGTCTGCAATGGCCCATCGCTTACCAGTGTCTGCTATGCAGACTCTGGGGGCTCCAGCTTCCTTATCTGCCAACTAGGTAAACTAAGCACACTGGTACTTAAATGACATCAAGAATATTGAATTAATACTGTCAAGTGTCATATAAATATTAATGATTACAGTCAGTATTATGAACTGTGAAAGAATTCTTAACTGACAATACTTGTAATAATTTTTCTTGAAATAGCTTCAAAGTCAATAATGATATTTTACTTATTCTAGGACAATTTTTTTTCACATGTATAGCTAAAGCAGACTGGCGCCTTGTCATAATTTTAGTTGGATTAAGATGACCTATTTTTCATTATATGTGCATTAAATTTGAAGAATGGATGTCATTGTCTGGGGGGAAAAACCTGGTGAACATAATAACAGATAATTGTATAAAAATGGTGAATAATGCTTTAATAAACAGAGAATGACACAGTTGAATAAAACATGGACATAGAAACTGGTGAAAGTGAGTCAAAAAGCCTTTAATGTTAAGATGTTTTAGGACTATTAATTTTGTTTTATTTTTCTTTTTATGCATGTAGAAGTATATTTTTTAAATGGAGTCTTTGAGGAAGCGTCAAAACTTCTAGGTGATTCAACGTTTGCCATAATGAAGTTGGATTTGTTTCCCAATTAGTTGATAAAATAAAAATGTATTTTATCAGGTTGCATCTTATTTTTGATGTGTCATCTTCCTGATCAAAATACAGAATTTACTTTCAAAACTATTATTTTTATCTTTTCTTTGAATGCCTTCTATTAAAACTGTATTTAAATAATGGCATTAATAAGAGAGCCTAAGAACCAGGCCTTTGAAAGAAATTACTGCCAGAGAGGTAGATGTCTCTTGACAGAAATCGAATAGCAAGCTAAAGCTGTGTTCCAACTGTTCTAGGCATTGATTTCTCTGCATCTTCCAGTGGCATTAATTTGACCGTTGACATTTCAATATGCGACATAATTCTGGCTTACTGTATTTAATGTTTGTTACAAACATTAACTACATAAAAGACACTGAGCTGGAACTAGAGGAATTTTGGGAAACACAGCAAATCGTCTCTGCACTTGTGGTGTGCACTACCTAACCGGAAGACTGACAATACATTACATTAATTAATAATGACAAGTTGTGCATACTGTGAAGGAGCATGGTACAGGAAATGGAAATAAAAGAGAACATTGCAGGGTGATCTATTTCAAAAAAAACGTTAACAGTTACCATATATACTGTGGTTACTCTGCAAGGCTCTATGCTACATGCTTTATAGACTTTTTAGTCTTCAAAGCAGCTCTATAAAGAAGACATTATTATCCCTACATTATAGCAGGGAAAATGAAATTTTGAGAATTTAAGTAATTTGGCTAAGGTCACATAATAAAAAAAGTGAGCAGCTGGGTAACAAGGAAAGGATGTCATAAGGCAATACTAGAATAGTT